ACATAGGGAGTCCATCATATTCATTTCTTATTGAATGGCAGAAAGGGGTTAGATTGGACAACATTTGGAGTTCCCTTCCAACTCTAGGATTCCCCATACATTAAAGGGAGAGGGACAATCATTCACCTGCATAGGAGCATAAGCCAGGTTGATGAACTGGACTGGGGTCAAGACTTTACAGTTCAACTTCAAGGCCCTCCAGTAACTGGATTGCACCCTTTTGAGCAATGTTTCTAAACCTGGGGGTTGGGACCCCTGGGGGGGGGTCACAAGGGGGTGTCAGAGGAGTCACCAAAGACCATCAGAAAACACAGTATTTTCTCTTGGTCAAAGTGATATAGAGCACGATTTTAGGGGGCGCTATCAAGACAGAGGCCAGCAAGACCCAAAAAGAGGATCCGCTATGCCTGGCGAGTAGGGCTGTCCAACCACGGAAAAATTTGTTTCTAAACTCAATTCGTTTTTAGGGGGGTTTTGCGTTTCGATTTTTAAAAGAATTCCGAAATTTTTCTTTAAAAAAGTTCGATATTTACGAAATTTCGGAAATTACGAAACAATAACGAAACAATTACAAAACAATTATGAATCGATTCATTAATGGCGGACGCGATCGCACAATACGCTAAAAAAACCTCCAAGTGGGACAGGGGGAACTTCTGAAGCTTCCTTCTCCCTCTGTTGTTGACTGTTGGTGTGATAATTATATTTTTTTCCACTGATAAAACAAACAGCAACCCTAAAACTTGCACCAGACATGCGGAAATAATAACGAAACGATTTCGAAACGATTTCGAAACAATTTCGAAACAATTACGAAACAATTACGAAACGAATTGAAAAATTTGTTTCGTTTTTTAGTTGCTCCTGAATGGTTCAATATCGCTTCGTTATCCAAAAAAATAACGAATTAATAACGGATTAGGAAATTAACGAACGAAACCGCCCAGCCCTACTGGCGAGACAATAAGCACTAACAAAAGTTTTCCCTGTTTCCTAATAAATCTCACCAGGATGAAGCAAGGCCACCAAAGTTTATTTTCTATTCCACCTGGAAAGGATGATGACCGCAGTAAGCTGTCAAAGAGCCGACATGCTCCTGAGCAGGAAAATACAGAATATATAGAGCTGTCAAATTCAAATTTCCCACGCCCGCCCCCCAAAGCCGGCTTTGCTGTGATTGATCGTGACAGCGAGGGGTGGATGCGGCTCCTCCAATCAGAGCCCAGGCCCCACTTCAGCCACTCAACTAATGAGGTGAGAGGAGGCACAGCGTAAGGAAAACAATGAAGGAATGTCCAGGTGATTGGATTATGAATGGTCCTTCTCAGACCTGAATGACAAGCGATCAAGGATGATAGCTGTAAGCCCTCTAGTCTCTGACCTGACTATTGATACAGAGTTGAAAGAACACCTTCGTCTGGCCCCACAGAGCCAGCTTATTGTCAAAAGATTGGTGATATTGTCATCCTTGTTAAGATCGTTGGATTTTCTTCTAGGGAGGGGAAATGGTTTTGTTGGAAGAAAGAGCGACATCCCCTTCCCCTCGCAGTTGGGGAATGTCCTTTGTGTCAAGTGATTACCATGTCCATGAGTCCCCAAATCCTCAGGTGACCTAGTCAAAAAGACCCTCTGAAGCCCAAGGACCTTACTTAAAAAATACCCCTCGTAAAATTCAAGGAGATTACTCTTGCAGGGTTTTTTTTTAAAAAAAATGTTGATTATAAAAATTTTGAAAATTCCCCCAAAATCTATGAATAATTGAAACGTTCTGAAATTTGATGGACTAACAGTGATCAACGTGTTCTACCGTTGTAGCAAGTTTCACTCCAATAGCTTTAAAGAAGAGGGAGCCCCGGAAGTTTTCCCAATTAGAGTAATTATGCACAATTACTATAACGAAATAGTAACGAAATTTCATTACTCTCGTTATATTCACGAATTTTTCACTACCTATACTTCAGAAACAATTTAGAAACAAAATGTCCATGTCCCCGAGTTTTGTAATGACTTTTGGACTTTTTTTTTAATGGACCGCACATCCCTACTGTGAAGGGAGGGTTGTTGTTCATTTGTTCAGTCGTCTCCGACTCTTCGTGACCTCATGGACCAGCCCAGGCCAGAGCTCCCTGTCGGCCGTCACCACCCCCAGCTCCTTCAAGGTCAGTCCAGTCACTTCAAGGATGCCATCCATCCATCTTGCCCTTGGTCGGCCCCTCTTCCTTTTTCCTTCCATTTTCCCCAGCATCATTGTCTTCTCTAAGCTTTCCTGTCTTCTCATGATGTGACCAAAGTACTTCATCTTTGCCTCTAATATCCTTCCCTCCAATGAGCAGTCGAACTTTATTTCCTGGTTTGATCTTCTTGCAGTGCAAGGCACTCTCAGAATTTTCCTCCAGCACCACAGTACAAAAGCATCTATTTTCCTTCGCTCAGCCTTGTTTCTGGTCCAGCTCTCACATCCATAGGTTAGTACGGGGAATACCATTGCTTTAACTATGTGGATCTTCAATGCCAGTGTGATGTCTCTACTCTTCACTATTTTATCGAGATTGGTCATTGCTCTCCTCCCAAGAAGTAAGCGTCTCCTGATTTCCTGGCTGCAGTTTGCATCTGCAGTAATCTTTGCACCTAGAAATACAAAGTCTGTCACTGCCTCCATGTTTTTTCCCTCACTATTCCCCAGTTGTCAATCATTCTTGTTGCCATAATCTTGGGTTTTTTATGTTTAAGTGCAACCCAGCTTTTGCGCTTTCTTCTTTCACCTTGATTAGAAGGCTCCTCAGCTCCTCCTCGCTTTCGGCCATCAGAGTGGTGTCATCTGCTTATCTGAGGTTGTTAATGTTTCTTCCAGCAATTTTCACCCCAGCTTTTCATTCATCCAGCCCCGCACATCGCATGATGTGTTCTGCATACAAGTTAAAAAGGTTGGGTGAGAGTATGCAGCCTTGCCGTACGCCTTTCCCAATCTTGAACCAGTCTGTTGTTCTGTGGTCAGTTCTGACTGTTGCTACTTGGTCCTTTTTTATTGTTTTTTATTTTTATTTTCACTTGAAATTACAGATAACAACAACAACATGTTGGGAAGATCCGGGTTGGCATAGGGAGAGGGTGAGGGGTGGAAGGAGGGGGATGACATAAAAAGGGGAAAATAGGAGGGGGGAGGGAGTACAGGGGTGTCAGGGGAGGTCGTTACAGTGATATCGAACATTGAATGACGTATACAAATTAGACTTCCTTAAGGTTATTGCGGGATTATAAAACTAGAGTAACTTATGTTTAGTGCTCTTTTTTGTAGATTTTTTTTGTTTAAATTATGCTCCTTCTCCTAATCAAGGTCAATATTTTTCCTCTGTTTTAAATAAAGTCTTAATGGATGCCAGTCGATCCTTCTTTTCTTGCTTGTTTCTTCTATCATATTTGCTAACGAGTCCAATTCCATATAGTCTCTTATCTTTAGTAGCTAGGTGTTAATTGTTGGTAGATCTTTGGATTTCCATTTGCTTGCCAGCACTGTTCTGGCAGCTGCGGATAAGTGGAATAGAATCCTGTCTTGGTCCTTGTACAGATTCCTCAGGAGAGAGACAAGGCGGCTTGGGATGCCCATCCACCAAGAACTTGCCACAATTTATTATGATCCACACAGTCAAAGGCTTTAGAATAGTCAATGAAGCAGAAGTAGATGTTTTTCTGAAACTCCCTGCCTTTCTCCATTATCCAGCAGATATTGGCAATCTGGTCTCTCGTTCCTCTGCCTTTTCTAAACCCAGCTTGAATGTCTGGCAACCAGGGGTGGCTCGTCCATTACGCGAAGTAAGCGGTCGCAGAACACTTTTTTTCCCAGGGGCCCAGAGGCGCCTCTGTAAATGCCCCTCGACTGCCACTTGAGGAGCGCCCCCTCAGCTCACAACAGCCCTAGCAGTCCGGGGGGAGCCTCGGCTTTCTTGCTTTGCTGCCGGGCGATCCTCTTCCCAAAGGGGCCGGGCCCTTGAGCCTCGCCTAGCCCCTCTCGTTCCTGCTCCACCCGGCCACCGGGTGCGCAAGCAGAGCCGGCGCTCAATCGTTCTCCGCGTTCGATCCCTTCCCCATGACCGGCTCCCTTTCCCGATCCCCCGGCGCTCCACCCGCCTCCTCTCCTCTCCCCAATCCCTGGCCTGCTTCGGGTCCGGAGGTGTGGCTGAAGACCCCAGCGTGCGCACCAAAAGTCGCCTCTTCTCCTGACTTTCTCTTCAGCCATTGGGACCAGAGAGAGAGAGAGAGAGAGCCCTTCCGGCTGGAGGTATCTCCCACCTCCGCTCCCTCCTTTGTTTTTGCGCCTACCTTCAGGAAAGGTGGGCATCTCCACCTCTCTCTCTCTCTCTCTCTCGGTCCCAATGGCTGAGGAGAAAGTCAGGAGAAGAGGTGACTTTTGGTGCACACGCCAGGGTCTTCAGGCATGTCTCCGGACCCAAAGTGGGCCAGGCAAGGGAGCAAATACGGCAAGTGTAGTTACTGGGATGTTTAGTTCACCTACAATCAAAGAGCATTCTGAACTCCACCAATGATGGAATTGAACCAAATATGGCACACAGAATTCCCACGACAAACAGAAAATATATATCAATGATTGGTTGGGCGGGGGAGGGTTATACTGCTTACCATTGAAAATTACCTAGAGCCGCCTCTGCTGGCAACTCTCGCTCCATGTCTTGCTGGAGTCTTCCTTGCAGGATCTTGAGCATTTCCTTACTGGCATGAGAAATAAGGGCCACTGTACGGAAGTTGGAGCAGTCTTTTGCATTTCCCTTTTTTGGTATTGGGAGGGAGGGAGCCAGTGCAAAACACCCTGTTTGTGGGAGGGGACGCGTCAGTTTCCTTTGGAGGCCGGCAGAGGGCGCTTGTCCTCTTCCTTACGGCGCGAATGGGAAGACTGTAGGACGGGTGGGCGGGGCTACTCCCATCTGTTACTTACCGGAGGAAGGAATGTGATTGGCGCGGGGCACGTGGAGGAAGCAACAGTGATCCCGCGAGCGGGAGGATTCTCGCGCGGTTTCCCCTCAGCGCGGGAAAGTGAAGAAGTTTCGAGGATGGCGACGCGGAGAGGCGGTGGGCGGCGCTGGCGAGCGGAGGCTCCCGCCGGAGAAGGCCAAGGAGAGGCGCCAAAGGGGTGAGGGAACCCAGGGCCAGGGTCTTCAGCCGCTTTGAGCATGTGCAGAGGGCCTTCCAGCTAGGGCGGTGTACTCCTGGGCATGTGCAGAGGGCCTTGCCTCCTTTCCCGGCCCCCCTTCGCGTTTAGGGCTGAGAGAGCGTGACCCTTTGGGTACAAAGTGGGCTTCAGACCAAAATATTGGGGGAAATTTGAATAAAATGCCGTTTAGGGCAATGAAACATCGGTGGGTTTTGTGTTTACATCAATACTAGCGGTTCCCTGCCACGCGTTGCTGTGGCCCAGTCTGTTGATCTGGTAAATAAAGTAATGAGAACGTGTCGGTTTCTAATATATGTAATTTCTTTCTGCTTGTGGGTAAACAGTATTTCTTGCTGTTTCTTTGCCAGTGTTGAGGTGGAGAGTGTCTGGTTTGCCTACTCTGGGACATGCAACATATTATTGTCCTTCTTTAGGGGTCCCTTTCAAATCTTTGATACTGCATCTGTCATACACATGTGTATGTGTGTGTGTGTGTGAATGGCTGGATGGCCCTTTGTCAGGAGGGATTTGATTATGTTTTCTTGCCCTGGTGAAGGGAGTTGGACTGGATGGCCTTAAGGCAGCATTTCTCAACCTGGGAAGTCAAGACCCTGAAGGGGGGGGGTGTCACCGGGGGGGTCAGAAGGGTCCCCAAAGACCACCAGGAAACACAGTATTTCCTGTTGGTCATGGGGGTTCTGTGTGGGATGTTTGGCCCAATAACTACAACTCCCAAATGTCAAGGTCTATTTCCCCCAAACTCCATCTGTGTTTTGTCGAAGGCTTTCATGGCTGGAATCACTAGGTTATTGTAGGTTTTTTCGGGCTATAGGGCCATGTTCTAGAGGCATTTATCCTGACATTTCGCCTGCAACTATGGCAAGCATCCTCAGACCTTACTACCTCTGAGGATGCTTACCATAGTTGCAGGTGAAACGTCAGGAGAAATGCCTCTAGAACATGGCCCTATAGCCCGAAAAAACATACAAGAATCCATCTGTGTTTATATTTGGGCATATTGAGTATTCATGCCAAAATTTGGTCCAGATCCATCATTGTTTGAGTCCACAGTGCTCTCTGGATGTAGGTGAACTACAACTCCAAAACTCAAGGTCAATGCCCACCAAACCCTTCCAGTATTTTCTGTTGGTCATGGGAGTTCTGTGTGCCAAGTCTGGTCCAATTCTATCGTTGGTGGAGTTCAGAATGCTCTTTGATTGAAGGTGAACTATAAATCCCAGCAACTACAACTCCCAAATGACAAAATCATAATTTTTTGATTGATGGTCACTCCTTGTGTAGTGAGACGTTTTGTTGGCAAATTTGGTGTGATTTCGCTCATTGGTTCTTTTGTTTTTAAGGTACTCATTACGCACAGAGCATTTTTATATATATAGATATGATGAGAATAGTAATAACAGTAAGCCAAGACCCCATGTCCAATATACTGTTTGTGTGTGTGTGTGTGTGTGTGTGTGTGTATGATCTGTATAGATGTGCAACTTGCTGCTTTGGATCTCAATCAAGAGAGAAAATTTGGTGTGATTTCGTTCATTGGTTCTTTTGTTTTTAAGGTACTCATTATGCACAGAGCATTTATATATATATAGAGAGAGAGAGAGAGAGAGAGAGAGACTAGCGGTCCCCTGCCACACGTTGCTGTGGCCCAGTCTGGTGATCTGGAAAATAAAGTAATGAGAAAGTATATGTCATTTCTTTCTTCTTGTGGGCAAACAGTATTTCTTGCTGTTCCTTTGCCAGTGTTGATGTGGAAATTGTCTGGTTTGCCTATTCCGGAACATGCACATATCATTGTCCCTTTCAAATACTGTCAGCAAGTTCAGCAGCTTAGCAGTTTAACCCACTGCGCCACAACAAACACACACACATATATATACATTGATCTGTATATATGGGTCTCACTTAAGAGAGAACAGCTGCACATAAATAAATATGGTGATAATAGTAATAACAATAAGCCATGACCCCATGTCCAATATACATATACTCTGTGTGTGTGTGTGGGTAGTAAAGGTAAAGGTTCCCCCTGACATTAAGTCTAGTTGTGTCCAACTCTGTGTATCTTTATTTATATACTAGCTTGGGGACCCGGCGCTGCCTGGGTTATTTGAGAAAGGAATTGTGTATCAAGGTTGGTCTTTATCAGTTATTTATATGGTTCGCAGTGGTCTCAGGAAGTTAGTGAAGGTACTGCGAGTCCCATCATCCATGGTCCATCCTCCTCCAAACTGCACCAGGATGGAGAGTGCGTCATGGAAACTCAGTATGCCAACTTTGGTCTTTATCAGTAATTGGATGAGAGGTGAATTGTAGTCCTGATCCATCACTGTTGGCAGTTGTAATGGTCTTAGGAAGGGAGTGCAGGTATTGCAAGTCCCATCCGTCCATGGTGCATCCTCCTCCAAACCGCACCAGGATGTAGAGTGCATCATGGAGACTCGGTGTGCCAACTTTGGTCTTTATCGGTAATTGGATGAGGGTTGCAGTGGTCTCAGGAATTGAGGAAAGATACTGCAAATCCCATAATCCATGGTCCATCCCCCGCCAAACCCCACCAGGGCATAAAGTGGGTCATAAGAGATCTATGTGCCAAGTTTGGTTTTGATCAGTCATTGGTTGAAGGTCACAGAGGTCTCAGGAAGTGAGTGAAGGTACTGCAAGTCCCATCATCCAAGGTCCGCCCTCCTCCAAAGAGCACCAGGATGTAGAGTGGGTCATGGGGGCTCTGTGTGCCAAGTTTGGTCTTGATTGGTCATTGGATGAGCCTTGCAGCAGTCTTGGAAAGTGAGTGGAGGTACTTGAAGTCCATCCATGGTCTGTCCTCATCGAAAGTACACCAGGCTGTAGAGTGGGTCATGGCTCTGTGTGCCAAGTTTGGTCTTGATCAGTCATTGGATGAGGGTCACAGTGGTCTCAGAAAGTGAGTGAAGTGACTGCAAGTCCCATCATCCATCTGCAAATTCTTCCAAACTGCACCAGGATTTAGAGTGGGTCATGCAGGCTCTCTGTGCAAATTGTAGTCCTGATCCATCATTGTTGGCAGTTCTAATGGTCTCAGGAAGGGAGTGCAGGTATTGCAAGTCCCATCGTCCATGGTGCATCCTCCTCCAAACTGCACCAGGATGTAGAGTGCGTCATGGAGACTCGGTGTGCCAACTTTGGTCTTTATTGGTAATTGGATGAGGGTTGCAGTGGTTTCAGGAATTGAGGAAAGGTACTGCAAGTCCCATAATCCATGGTCCATCCCCCGCCAAACCCCACCAGGGCATAAAATGGGTCATAAGAGATCTATGTGCCAAGTTTGGTCTTGATCAGTCATTGGATGAAGGTCACAGAGGTTTCAGAAAGTGAGTGATGGTACTGCAAGTCCCATCATCCATTGTCCGCCCTCCTCCAAACTGCACCAGGATATAGAGTGGATCATGAAGGCTCTTTGTGCCAAGTTTGCTCTTTGTTGGGGGGCCCCGTGGTCTGTGGGAACCCAAGGGTTTGAAAGTACTACAAATCCCATCAAGCATTGTCCGCCCTCCCTTAAACCTCACCAGGACATAAAGGGGGTCATGGGGGTTATGTGTGCCAAGTTTGATCTTGTTCAGTCATTGGATGTGGGTTGCAGCGTTCTTGAATGGTGGTACTTCAAGTCCCATCGTCCATCGTCTGCCCTTCTCCAAACCGCAGTAGGATGTAGAGTGGGTTATGGGGGCTCGGTGTGCCAAGTTTGGTCTTTAACAGTATTTGTTGTAGACCACAGTGGCCCTGGGAAGCAAACCGTCTGAAAGTACTACAAATCCCATAATCTGTGGTCCACCTCCCCCAAACCGCACCAGGACATAAAGGGGGTCATGGGGGTTATGTGTGCCAAGTTTGGTCCAGGAGCGTCACCTGTGTTGGTCACAGTGGTCTGTGAAAGTGGCAGCCAATCAGAAAGCTGCCACATACACCTCCCTACCTACCTACCTACGTCTGCCCTCCGCATACAAACATTGACTTTTATTATATAGATAGATATTAGCCTTGGTTGATCGTGTTCGTAAGTTTCTAAAGTCGTAATGAATTCGTATTTAAATTAGCGTTCATCCAATATCGAGCCATGCAGGAATAGTGTGAGAAGTAATTAAGAATGGAAACAATTTCCCCATTTTTCCCTACCCCTTCCTCATGCTTCTTCTTGCCTCACTCTGGGCTGCACTGTCTCTTCCCTTCCCCTTCCTTCCTTTCTATATTATATTGTATTGTATTGTATTGTATTGTATCGTATCGTATCGTATTATATCATAATATAATATAATATACAATAATATAATATTATACATTATATTATTATTGTATATTATATTATGATATATTATATCATAATATAATAAAATATACCAAAATAATATAATATATATAATATAATATAATTTTCTTTGTTGTGTCAGGAGCATCCTGTTGTGAGAGAATTGGCCGTCTGCAAGGACGTTGCCCAGGGGACGCCCGGATGATTTTTTTTATGTTTGTGGGAGGCTTCTGTCATGTTCCTGCATGAGGAGCTGGAGCTGATAGAGGGAGCTCATCCGCCTCTCCCCGGATTCGAACCTGTGACCTGTCGGTCTTCAGTCCTGCCGGCACAGGGGTTTAACCCACTGCGCCACTGGGGGCTACATCAAATATTATATTATTATAATATATATATTATATATTATATAATTATTATATATATATAATAATATATATATAATAATAAATATAATATACTATAATAATAAATTATATAAAATAATATAAATATAATATATATAAATATAATATAATAATAAATATAATATAATAATATAATAAATAATATATAATATAATATATAATATATATAATATAATGTATATATATAAATATATTAAAATAATAAGATAATTATAATAATATAAATAATATATATAATATATTAATATAATATACAAATAATATTATAATATAGT